ACTCTTGGATAACTAATCATGCACAGTTAGTAGCTACATGCTATTTTACTTTTAATTTTTAGTAACTTGATGATTTGCATCTAGTAATCGAACTTTATTATTTTTTAATATATAATGAGTATTATCAGATTTATCGATTTTTATTGTTAAAATACAAATATTAAATATCAATTAAATACTATATACCGATTTGTATCTGTTAGTAAAATTTTCTGATGAAAGCATCCCACATATGAGCTATCTCTTCTTTAATGTCAGGCATAGATCAGTAACACTTTGAAACCTCTAATATCAGGTAAGCTTTTATAGTGATCCACATTTTTAAATCACACTTACACTTTACACAATCATCCTCTGGTAAGTATAATTTGTCACCACACCAACATTGGGTGTTTGGACCTTTTCAGTCGAAGGGCCAGTACTTGTTTCTGGATTTTTGTCTTAACCTTTTACTTATATGCTCTATATAATACCAGGTACTTAATTAGCAATCATGCCTAATACCTTGTGATATAAATTTGACATTCTCATATGGATAAATTCCAGATATAAGAGACTTAGATGGGTTATAGTTTAGGATTTCTTTAATTGTATGCTGTACAGAATTACCTTCCTCATTATTAGTGTCTATACTGATATAATTAACCATAACCTCTCTGTTTTTTCTTTATCATTAAGATAGGAGAGTGCATCGGCGTTACTATGTTTATGCCTGAGCCGGTGAATAATGGTGAAATTATAAGGTTCCAACCTCATAATCCATCAGGCACGTTTATCTTTCAACTCTGAGGTTCTTAGCCACTTCAATGCGGAATGGTCCGTAATTAGAAAAAAGGGCTTTGACTCTAAGTATTGATGAAAGTGTTCCATGGCCCATATAACTGCAAGACACTCCAACTTAGATACAGAGTAATTTTTTTCTGTTTTACTCACACTGCGGCTAGCATATGCCACCATATACTCTTTATTTTCCTTATCTAGTTGGAATAGTACAGCACCCAACCCTGTAATTAAAGCATCAGTATGCAGATAAAAAGGCCGATCAAAATCAGGTTGCCTTAAAATTGAAGCTGTAATGAGATGACTTTTCAAGGTATTGAAGGCTTGATCTTGTTCTTTAGCCCAGTGAAATTTTACTTCACTTGATAACAACTTATTTGGAGTTTTGCAGTCTTTAAAAATCCTTTTATTAATCATCTATAATAGAAGGTAAGACCCAAGAATACATGTAATTGTCTTATTGTGGTTGGTATAGGGAAGTTCCTTATCTTTACTATTTTTTCATAATTAGGAGCAACTCCATCTGCACTAATCACATGACCTAAAAATTTGATTTTATATAAGAAGAAGAAACACTTGTCTAGGTTTAATATGAGGCATGCTTCTTCTAATACTTTTAGAACAAGTCAAACATGCTCTAAGTGTTCTTCATAAGTCCAGGAATAAATAGTGATATCGTCCAAGTATACAACCATGAATTTGTTCATATTGATATTCAACACATGGTTCATTAGACGTTGAAACGTTAAAGGGGTATTACAAAGCCCAAATGGTATCACATTGAATTGATATATGCAAATTTTGTTATAAAAGCAGTTTTTTTTCTATCTTCTTTCCTTACCTCGACTTGCCAGTATCCACTAGCTGAATCTAGGCTAGTAAACTACTTGGAGCTTTTAAACATGGATAAGACTTCATTTATATTAGGTAAAGAATAAATATCCTTTTCTGTTACTGTATTTAGCATATGGTAATCAATGCATAATCATTTCTTGCCATTCTTCTTAGGCACAAGAACAACGGGGAAATCCATGGGCTTTTAACTTCTTCAATTATGTTCTTTTTCTCTATATCAAGGATTTCTTCCCTGGGAAATTCTTGATTATCCAAGGACATACCATAGGAACACTGGCTAATAGGTTTAGCATCTTCTGTATAAATTTTATGATTTACCAGGTTAGTTTGGCTTAGGCCAACTGTTTGATCTGACTTACTAATCTTTTCCACATAGACTTGGAATGTTTCCAATAATAACTCCACCACTTTTTCTTTTTGGGTAGATAGCAATTCCAGGTTGATATTAAAGGATTTCTCATCCAACTCTGGTTGTTTTGCTAAAGAATTTGCTATAAATACCACAGGATTATAGTTGGTCCACGGATTATAGTATATTTCTTCTTCTTCTTCTGAGGTACTTTCATCCAAATAAAAGGCTTGAACTTCATTACTCTCATTTTCCAACTCATCAATCCACTCTTCTTCATTAGTGAATTCTTCTAATTTCTGATTGTTAAAACTTTTACTAACATGAGTTGCATTTATAGTAACTTGTTTACCCAAATATTTTACATGTAGGGTATTACTACCAAGGTCAAGCTTCACTCTTGACTTACTAAACCAGTCTGTACCCAAAAGTAGAGTTTCTTCTTGGGACTTGATTACTTGCAAGTCAATAGGTATATTGTAAAGTTATTTTAATACTACTTACTATACCTAGAGCTTTAGCTCTATTACCATTGGCCATAACAACAATGGTCCGAGATGGTTTATCTATTACTAATCTAAGCTTATTTATAAGCTTCTTTGTTATTATACTTACTGCAGCACTGGAATCTAGTATTGCAACTACCAGGTTGCTCTTGATTCTTACATGGCAACACATGGCCATGGTTTTATGCTGACTATTTGCATTCAAATGGTTAGCTTCGGTACTTGGGGCCTTTTTATGCCTAAGTGTCTTAGCCAGGTTACGTCATTGAGTTGAATTTTGGAGTATTTGCCCATAAGTTACATGTGCCAGGGCATCTAATAAATCCTCAGATATATCATAAAGCTGTAGTTTATCTACTACTGGGGTAAGCGATGTGTTGCAACTTTCTTTGGTGATACTTCAGGAACTATATTATTATCCAAGTTCATTGAATCCTCAACTTCTTCCTTTACAGCTGGAGGATTTTGTTTTCTTTCACATAACTGATATTCTTTACGTTACTCGGACTATTTTTGTTGTTGTTTTTCCTTAAACTCCTTATAGTTAGTACCATAAGTTTTATACTTAGTAGCAAATACTTCTTCATCATCACTATCGGACTCAGGTTTCACAAAATTAATATGCCTACTTTGCCTGTTATAAGTAGGTCATTTTAGAATTTGATATGAGCATTCTACCCTTTCTGACAAACATTCATACGCATAATGGCCGGGTTCTCCACACTTATAGCACTTACCAGAAGAACTCTTCTTATAAGGCTGTTCTTGCTTTACTCTTGTTAGAGCTACCGCTCTATCTGATTGAGCCATTAAGGCTGTTGCTATATTGGCATAATTAAGACTTAACTGCTATATTTGCTGGGTTAGGTTTTCAATTTCCCTTATATAATTCCTTGCTGAGTTGGTAAATCAGGACCATGATTTAAGGCAAAATCAGTACCTTGCTCGTATCTACAAACTTTATTCAAGACTTTACCCAAATTTTGTAGATTATGCATCAATATCATAGGAAGTATTTTGGGTCTGAGGCCCTTCTTAAAGTAATACTATTGTTGCACATCTGCTATATTTTTGTCGACTCTCTTCACTAACCTTTTGAACTTACTATAATAATATTTAATAGATTTGCCGGGTAACTGCTTAAGCAAGTCAAGGTCCCTTAACCACTTGTTTTGCCAACGCTGGGTGCAAAACTGAGCGATGAACACAGTAGAGGTGGCATTCCAATCTGCAACAGCATTGTTAGTAGCTGCATTAGCTGCAAAATAAGTCTGTTGCTATTCATCGGCATTACTATGCAAAAATGCTGGTAAGAGTTCTCTTTTCTGATGGTCTGTTCATCGATTAGCCATAGCGGCTTTTTCAAAACTTTCTAACCAGGTTCTAGGATTCTGTGTACCATCTTCATAGAATGGTTCAATTCTTAGCAGAATGGAGTCTCTTTGGCTAGCCTGGAGATAATTCAAAACATCTTGAGCATTAGCAGCGGCCATGTTTTGGTTCCCTGGTGGAGGTGTGGGTGTATGGAATAACTTTTCTAACTCTAAGTCTGAATTTGACTCTTTTGCCTCAGAAGTAGCTTCACTTAGGTTATAGAGAACAACAAGAGGATCTAATTGTTCGTAGATACGCCTGACAGAGTTGTCCAACTATAGTATCAAATCCAGGGTCTTCTGTATATCTAACGTATATACTAAAGCCCAAAAGTGCTCTTCCAGTGGGTTTATGGATTGCTATAATAATTAGAAGATCTGTAGAATGCAGTTAGTATAAAAAATTACTGGGTACGCTATTAGAAACCAAGCCCAGAAGTTGATAAATAGTAAAGTATATACTCTTGCAGCAGGGTAACACAATTGACAAGAATAATTTGCCGTGAATTCGTGAATTTGCTAATGTATTACTTCAGTAGTCCCTGGGTAAAGTGTGCTGATAATCATGCTGAGTGTTCCTATGTCTAAACTCTTGGATAACTAATCATGCACAGTTAGTAGCTACATGCTATTTTACTTTTAATTTTTAGTAACTTGATGATTTGTATCTCATAGTCGCCACCAAAAATGTCACACCCGAATCAACCTCTCTAAAATAATCCAAGGGACGTGATAATATAGTATAAAGACTATATCTATAAGTATAGATAAAGGTTAGTAAAACGTATAAATTATACTTAACAGAGAGGATTAAAGGCTTTGTTCTTAAGAGGCAACAACTCTGGGTATATAGAGATACCAAGGTTGTATATTTTATTTAAAGAACTTCTCTTGTGAAGTTTGTGTTCTTCCCTTCATGGGTCATGTGAACATGTTACTTACAAAATTGGAGTTTATAGTAATTATTCGTGTATGAAGACACGAAAGAGTATCTTTATTAATAATAAAAAATAATAAAACAATAGAAAAGAAGCAAGAATTCAACTATTCTAATAATAGGGTAATAGGTTAAAGTCTGAGGTAGAGCAAGGTAAATTGGAAGGCCTTATATACATAAAGCTAAAACTATAATCTACAAGATCAAGTATTATTCTATCTTTATTTTATATTTATTATTTCATTCTATCTAAC